CTTTGTTCTACTATTATTTTTGTAACTCGATGTAAACATGTAGTGTATATCATTAACAAACTGGGTGAGGAGAATGAAGGCTGTGGAAAATTTAGCACCGAGTTTTTCTGAAAGTCGGTGAATATGAAATAGTCCGTAATTCAGAATAATGGGCGTTTCAAATGGACTTTATGAATTGGAAAGTTTACGGGGAAAATTGAACTTTGAATGAAGGGGATTGAGTCTTAATGCCATCGGTGATTTCAGTAGGTGAGAGGGGGGTGGGTTAAAATGGTATTAATGGTATTTGAAGTGAGGTACGAGGAAACGTAGTTCTCAGCCGTTCACCGGACCGTGAGAGCGGGTGACCTCACCATCGCCGACGGTCCCAAGTGCTCTTCCAGGCCGAGTTTAGTTAACAGTACCTACAATACCCAGTACATAACTCCAAACATCGCCCACTGAACGTCATTATCCTCAGGTCTATCCTCTACCCTCCCCCTCAGTCCCTTTTGTCAATGCCGGGAAACTTCTCCAATTCCCTAAAACTCCGGACAACCAATCCCTAACACCCAGGATCATTGGGGATTATTATGTACTGTCACTAGCTCATTTAGACGCCGAAAAAAAATAGTCATTGCCAGTGACAATATGCCCTATTTTTTTCTTTTTTTTTTAAAGTTTTAATTATCTCAATAGCTGTAATTATGGAAAATATTCTCGACTTGGAGAAATATTCATGATAACTTTAATGATCTTTTAATTATCGGGAACGTTAAAAAAATGTAAATAATTTTAATTAATTGCTTTTCATTAAAAAAAGGAAAATGGCAATGTTTTCAATGGGAATGAAAATATTTCTCGGTGGAACGAGAGCTGACGAGGAAGTGGTGCCGTGAGAAAAGCCACTCCCAGGTTGAGACGGTTTTGGTTGAACGATCAAGACTTGGTACCGATAAAATGACATAATTAAATAAACCTCTATTTTTTTTATCCTCGTCAGGCTGAGAGAGATCGACTGGAGGAAAGCAGGAGGGCCCTGGAGAAACGTCTGGAGGGTCGGGAGACAGAGTTACGTGACAAGGAGGAGGAACTATTTTTGCATCTAGAACGGAGTCTACGTCTCGACGACGAGATTGAGCGTCTCAAGGCAGAGCGTGACGCCTGTATAGCAGCACGTGAGCAACTCGAGAGAGAGCAGACATCGGCTCTTCGTCAATTACAGTTGCAAGCAACTCAGAATGAAATAACCAGGAGGAACCTCGAGAGAGCGAGACAGGATGTCGTCAGGCAGGCGACCGTCATTCGTGCTGAACGTGATGCACTGGAACGCGAGGTAAATGCATGAGAAAAAAAAAGAGCAGCATCATGAGAATGGGAGAATGGGGGGTAAAAAACGGAATTGGAGAATTTAACGGTATCGTTTAAGTCAGGTGAAACTAATTTCTGTTTTTATTCGTCGCAGAACGTCGTTCTGAAGGAAAAACTGAGAGTTGAGCAAGTCGAGTTGGGGGCGGAGAGGAGGAGGAGGGAGGAGGGAATAGCAGTATTAACGCATGAAGCAGCTACTCTCAGGCATGCAGCACGTCATCTTCGTGCAGCTGCAGTTCATGCTACGTCCTGTCGTCGGCGCAGGAGATGCTCGGTCTGTTTGTACGCCAAACGAACATTCGC